TATGTATATATATATACCATTTCGCGTTCCAAGAAATAAAATGATTCCTACCCGCTACAGAACTAATTTTCGAAAAATTGGATATGGTTGGGCAAACCTTGTTCACAACGATTGCAGTAGCTCTTGTGACTGAATAGTGAACGGACTCAGGCCACATGCGTGCTTCAAGATCGGAATTCTTGTTTGGAGAACAAGGACGGATGCTGCGGATGAGAGATTCATCCGCGAATCAGCTCAATCCACCATTAAAACCGTCTACTCCTAAGCATCTTCATCAGTTGTTTCCACAGCATCTAGGTTTTGGTCCTACGGTCATATCATTGCAAAAGAATAAAATACAGAAGAGAGACTCATGTCAAACAGTTTCACTTTCATTCAGGCTGACTCGGTGGAAATGTACAAACCGAGCAAAATGGACTGCTTGTGGGAGAAAGTTTACGGAGAAGTGTGCCTGCGATCGACCCCATTTACAACACAGATGGCTGCTCAAATAGATGTTAATACGACAATCTTAGCACCAAAGTATTTTTTATTAAAAGGCCCACAAAGAAGATGAAACACAGATGGCTGCTTTTAGAACATAAATATCAGTGATTTGGGTCGGACTCGCTCATCTTCAAGGGACTCGTACAAGTGGACTACTGATAAAAATGCCTAGTAGCCAGCATACTTTTTTTCAAAGTTCCGAGGGGTCATGAGCTTGCTCATGAGGCTGGGAAAATGAGTGAAGCTGGCTGGACATTCAAGGATACTTTAAGGGAGAACACAAGCATCTATTCAGATAACTTCCTCTGTTGCAAAAGAAAGCACTCCTTGGGGGGTCACTTTTAGTTTAGAATTTTGAACTGCATGCGCCCTAAGCTATACACTATTTTTGAAACAAAGTTCAACACTGTCTGACTTGAAAGTTTATCGCTTACTGGTGTTAAGATGAACACTATCAAGAAGGCCAGATTTCTGAAAGCAACCAGTGAATGCCCGAAATCTGCTGAGACTCTCAGCTCCGCTAGATGCTGACCAGACAGACACCTGCCCTCGATATACAGCACGTCACAGCCTTGTATCAAACCCAGACAGCGCGAGTCAGCTTTGATCAAGGCCAGACAACGCCCCGCAATATGCAGTGCGTCACAACCTCGTACCAAAGCCAGACCGCATGCGTCAGCGTTGGACCAAGTTCGGACAGTATCCTTCTAATTAATAGCTTGAGGTCGTTATACTTTTGCATTCGCTCGCACCCCCGCTCTCGCACTCGCTTGTTCGGAATATAGTCGTTCTATAACATTCTGTGAGTGTTTTCTCCGGCACTAGAGCGGGGTCAGCAGGCAGATACAACAGACTGGCGAATCAGCAGGTATAACAAACACATACCATAAGTGGTGGGGGGAACCAAAGTTTTCAGGTTTTCCACAAGAAAACGCGCACTTTCATTGTATTGAATACAACTCAGATTACATTTCATTTGTTTCGCGCAATCAAACTTTTACATTTTTAGCTCCTTTTCTTTGAACCTTCAATGACCGTCAATGCCCAATCAGATAATTCATTCTGCGGTTTTTATGGATAGCAGTTATAACGGTTGGAGGATGAATTTGTTTCGTGTGGTCCCTAGTTGTATTGCATCCAGGAACACATCTAGCTGTAGGATGCAGCCACAAAAGGGTTGTCACACTCAGACTGCTAGAAATTACCAATCTAGTACTGTCGATCACCATACAAACGTGACTTCATATTCGTCCTTATTAAGCAGTGTGCACGAATGTACAACAGCGCACCAAAACGAGTCACGTTGGCCAGTGTGAAAGAACAATCGTACAGGACTGGTATTTCACCAACAACCAATTGCCCCCCGACTTCCGCTGTCTAGGCTTGGGCAACCTGGAAGTATCCCAGCCCTCGTGCTTCCTTCGGGGGGCATGGGAAAGGGTGCTACAGCTGAACGGTTTTTTCAGTTTCATCGTAGTCAGTCCACGTTTTGACAGTGAGGCACGAAATCCCTTACCAGTCAGTTCAGCCGCGTTGCTAACTGCCTTGCCCCCGGATGGGGACTGCGAGACGGGACAAATCAACGGTTTGTGACCCTGGCAGAAATGGTTGTGGCACGCAGCCATTTCATCCGCTCTTCTCACTAAAGACCCATGCATACAAAACTGCGCTCGCTGGTTTCATCCGCGCTTCTCACTAAAGACCCATGCATACAAAACTGCGATAGAATATGTGAAAAGGGAGCAATTGCTGAATTTCTGAAGAAAGTACAAACTGCCCGCCGGTTGAATCCCGGCATCCTGTACAAGAGCCCTTCCAAATTTTTCATCTGAATCCAGGACGATGTAATTAGAGTATTGCCGTCAACAATTATTGATTACTTAACTCCATGTTGTTGAAACTTTTGTCGCTGCTGTAAGAAGTGTCGCGTGTGTGAAGGGCGACATTTTGACTTTGTGAACATCCTTTGGGCTAAGAAATGAAACAACTTTCGACACGGTTGCGTCTCCTGTTGACAAATACTTACACTGCAAAGAAGTGTACAACTGTATCTTCAAATAGGTTGCTGCCCAATTAGAATGAATTTCGGAAACTGCTCCTAGATAATGAACCCTTCAAAAGGAGGTATCTACATAAGCGTTTTCATCAAACTACTTAGTTGCTTACGAACTACTGTTTTGAAAAGACTGTAGCACTCCTCAGCGGTATAGTCTAGTACAAAGTTCTCGGTCAGATGACAGTTCAGATCCCAAAAAGCATGCTAAGTTCATATGCATATTAGTACTCGCGTGGTCTTGGTGAATAGTGTTCAAACAAACGGACAAGATATACGCGAGGTATCATGGTTTCACTGATGCAGGAGGCAAGTAGTGCATATTCAAACTTTGATTAAGCCACAGGATCCAGTCTGCAAGTCATGGCTGGGCAATACATCAAGGTCGAGCAAATTATATCTCGTTGTATTCTGTGCCATGTGTTTGCAGGAATCAATGATCGGTAATCATACCGTCGAATTTTTGTAAGATCTCCTCTTTGTGCAAACTATTCAACTCGGTTTGTCTTACTGATACCTTTTACAAGGGGATTAGCTTTCAAATGTGAACTTTAGTTCAAAAAATTACGAACTTTTGTGAATATATGGCCTTGCGAGATGCTCTGGAAGCCAGTAATGGTGAAGAGATATGAAGTATGCTCAAATGGCCCCATACACGGGGGCACGAGCCAATAACTTTTTGAGATTATGCCTAACAATGACATCTAGTTTAACGTAGTTCACATCACTTTCGGTTTCATAAGGGAAGGCTAAACAAGCCAAGAGTGATCGCCTTTGCTACCGTGCTTGGATGGACGCCATTTATATCAAGGCTTATCATAGCCAACTCAATCAGCCAACGAAAGTTCTCTCAATCCGAAGTGTGTCCCCGGTCTACCTTGTCTCTGTCCTATAAAGAAGATGACCTTTTGGAAGAATCATCCTTCAAAACTTCTGATTTTCTACTCAAAGAGATATAACACTACACTCAAGAGTAAGCACTGTCAGCATTTTCCTTCCGGCAGGAATCACTTCCGGCTGCTGACGAAGTGTACTCAAGAATGGCATACATTACTAGAAAAATTGTATCATTGCGTAAGAGCGAGTAAACACTAGACTGTAAAAGAAATATGAGAATCGCTGACACCGGAACACACCTTACAAGTCACAGGGACCGTCTATCTGATAAAACGTCGCCTGATAAGTCAATCAACCCGAGACCACGTGATTGGAAACTTTTGACTGAGGAAAGTAATGTTTCACCCCGTTTGTGTTCAGTTAAACTACAAAGTTGAAAATGGTTGTCGATTCTAATCCCCATACAGATTTGTGAAACGCACACGGTTAACCATTCCCAACAGGATTGGCTTCTATTTTTGTGGGCACAGGATGAATTCATTTGCAGAATGGGACCATCAAAACCTCGTCAAAACAAGCAAGCAAACAGACCGGTGAGTCAGTAAGCATGAGAAAGCTCGTACCCTCGTGGTATACACTGTTGAATACTTTTGTATACTGTTGATATGCTGTTGTGTCAGACTAGACTTAGTTGACCATTTGGTACTCACCTTGCAAAAGTATCCACCCCTGAGTGATGAAAAAACAAGAACCGTGACATACTACTTATAAGGCCTTTGAAAACACCTCAAAACGCATAACCGATTTCAGCATTCTTTGGGCTTATCGGGTGGTGCGTGCGCTTTCCGGGTTTCTGTCGACATTATGTTCTACTTTAAATCAAGCTAGACAGGTTTGGACGAATACATTCATTTTCATGGGAATTCGGTTTCGAAAGGAGATTCAGTGGAAGTAATCTCTCGGTTATGATGGCCCGCTCCAAATAAATGTGTTACTGAAGCATAATGCACACCGGTTCCATCCGGTCTATATTAAGTACAAACTAATCTGTGGAGAAGTTCAGATATTGCATCATCATCATCATCATCATCATCATCATCATCATCATCATCATCATCATCATCATCATCATCCGAATAATATTAATAATACTAATAAAAAATCATCACCATCATCCGGTTCATTAAGCAGATGGCTTGTCAGATTGCCTTGCATTAACTCTGTGTTGCCACCCGACCGGTGCGTGACCAGCATGATATCGAACCAGAGCATGCTGGCTCACTTGAATCTACCCGGTTCACTCCCTTTCACTTTGCTCTGCGTAGCTGGGCTCTCGTTCCAAATACCATGATAAAACTCGAGCAAAAATAAGGGCAACAATAGTTTATCTTGTGTTTAGGACAACAAATTCGGCCTACAGTTTTCTTTAACCTACAACTTAAAGAGTTTTGGGCTTGGGCAGTAACCCAGCCCTCGTGCTTCCTTCGAATGGCATGGCATCTAGGCACCGGAAGGGTGTTACAGCTGAACCATTTTACAACACCAGTCCACTTCTTCCCACAGCTGAGCTAAAGGCAAATTACCAAGGTCTGGAACCTCTGTTCCTCTACTCCGATGGGTTAACCGATGGGCTGCATCTGACAACACCGATTGTCACCTGTTTTTTCTTCTATCCAGACTTTACAGCTATGCTTCAGGCATAATGAGTTACTGACAAAAATATGGTGCGCGAGGGCAACATTTTGGGACATGTGCGTGCCGTCGTGTCACGTGGATGAATGAAGCTCAGATTGTTTGAAGCTCAGATTGGACTTGCTTACGATGAAGCTGAAGTCGTTCAGATGGACACTTTGATACAACAACTGGTAGGGCCGTGTGTAGGCGTACTCGCTGGCCTCGACTACCAAGTACTTTTAGTTCATTAGTACACGTTTCATCTCGTGCCGAGATTGTTTTTTTTTCACGTCGTCAGAAAACACTCATCCAAATCACTCAGAGCGCAGATTGTCACAGACGTACGAGTGTCCCGTTGTGTGTGCGCGAGACAAAGAGAAGGCGACATTCACAATCAGTCAAGCGACTAATTGGAACAGATACTATCACGCGAACTACTATCCGGCAAACATAAAGTGTATTTGACAAACCAGACTGGTCAAGCTTTACCATACGGGTGTGTATGATGTGTAGAATTCCGGTTGGTTTCCTGAATCACACTACAAAGTTGAAGAAAAGACAAATCATGCTTTGTGTGTGTGTGGAAAACCCGACGAATTTATGCTCTGTTTAGAGACAAACAAAGAGGATGAACTGGGATTATTGTTCGGCCTCCTCACGCTTTCTGCACAGATCGATAATCGAATACCAAGTGACCAATTCAGTTCATCCCTTATGTAGATTGAGAGGTGTTCCAGATATTTTTTCTTCGGTTTCATGTTAAAGTCTGAGTAGATGTTCTCAGGCGTCTGGTTCTACACCTCACATCGATCACAAATAGCTTTTTTGGACCTTGTGATGGTGATACCTGGTGTCTAAGTTGTGGTCTTGGCACCCTTTGCAGGGCTAGAGACGTTAGCACTCCGGTTTCGTAAGCCTTGTGCTAGGTTTGTTCTGCTGTAGGGTGTACACTTGTTCTGACTGACTTAGCTCAAGCAGTGATGCAAAACTAACGAAGGTTCAAATCTCCAGAAATACGGTAATGACACCACTGGCAATATCTGTGGAAACTCGGGGACTGTGTCAACTTGGTGGGCTCCAAGAAGGGCGAAACTGGCCGTGGGCTGTCGAAGAAGTCACGTTGGTGACTTCAGTAACATCTTACAAACAACAGCAAGTCGTGATCCGATAGCAGGCAAAATAATCGTCGTGGATTGACTGCCTCGCTGCTGCATACACATAAAAATCAGAGTGTATAATGGAATCTCTTTCACATGGATTCGATCTTGATCACGTGTATCTGTTTTGCTAGTCCTACACTTCCCACCATCTGGTGAACGCGGATACGACAACCGATCTGTATGTCGGGAAACCTCATCACATGTTTCTCATCTCTTGCTTTTTGGAAGTCGATTCATTTTCTTGGCTTGTGTTCAACAATTTTGCAGTGAGTACACATGGTATAAAGAAAGAGTTGGTTACAATAGCCCATGAGTTTTTTGTAGCTGATTGGCTACTGTTTCAGAAAACGTACAAAGAACCGAACATCGTGTTGTGTTCGACCAAGTCAGAAAAACTGGTCTACATTCCAAAATGTTCGTGGAATTGTGCAACTTCGCACTCAAACGACTTAGATTAGGTGAGTGCTACTCATTTTATATTACACAGAGTGTGGAATAAAGCTTGACTTATTCTGTGAGTAGACAGAGCACTTCAAAGAGAGTTGACTGATTGTAAAAAGTAACCTAAAGCAGAGTCCCTTAACTGGTCGATGAGCGACAATGGAGATGCGTTCACTACGATCGACAGTTGTGGACAGTCAACGCGGTCCACTGCCGTTGCACTAACCCGCAACTTCTCCTGTCGTGTTTGGCTTCCGAATTGCAGTCAATCTGGGGTTTGGTGAGAAAGCGTAACTACGACGTCTTGTTTGCCCATCAGGTACCTCGATACCACTATTACAACCACGTCGTGTCCCACTAGGAGTGGCATAAACACTGTGGGTAGTATAGTGTTCGGATTTCGCTTTTGGACGTCACGTGCTTATTCCTGAACTGAGTGTGTGCATCACCTGTTTTTTTCGTGTGATTAGTAGATACGCGACTTACATCAGAAATCAACAAAAGTCAATGTTTCCCCCATGATTCATCGTGTTAGATTTCTGTTAGACATCTTCTACCGGTTCCTTGAGATTAACCGGAAATACACTCATCTGCAAGTTAATTTGGTTTTAAAGGAGGACTTAGCAAAACACCCCAGCTGAAACGCTTTCGTCGATAATATTCTTTAACTGAATGCTATGGTCGGCTAAGAGTTGGGCCAACTCAGTGGTCCAAACGATCTCCACCAAACCAAAAGATTCTTCGGTACTTGTTTCTTCCGAAGTGCTCCTCTCCAAAGTTAGTGCCTCAAAGAACTCTGTTATTAGTGCGAGGCCTTCCTCACTGCATTTTTTAAATAGAACAAGCATGTTTTGCGTTCTTCAAAACCATGTGGAAGTTTAGCTGGTTGTGTGCCCATTTCATGCCTGATAGTAAGTAGACGGTCCAATACGTCNCTCAACAGGAATGCCACATTACTCCGTGTACTTTTACTCGGCTCAAAGTATTTTAAATTCACCGGGAAAGTGTTCTTATGAAAGGTTATTTGCAGCTGCAGAGAGATCAAAACAAGAAAAAGCTGGAGAGGAAATGTTTGAGAGCTGGCTGTTTGGATGTCTATTCACACAGACTTTGTAAGTTTTGCCCGATCCTTTTGATTGTCTTGTCTTCGACGAATGGGTCCACCGTCTAAGATCAGTGTGCGCCAGCGTTGCCAAGACGCCAGTCTGGTGAACATGTCAAACTATGGGGGTCGGTCATGCAGTAGGATCCAATGTACAGACCTTTGTCAAGACTTGTCACTTCCTTGGGATTAGACTTAACACATGCTAAGCTGTTCGATTGGAACTGGTGAGGAAGTTGACAAGATAGTTCTCATAACACGTAGAAGATGATGCTCGCGGTTCTTACACGAACACTAAGTTTGGTAATGTACAGCCTTGAAGTATTCTATTGATTGTATAGCTACTGATTTTATTGACCAGGAGCGAGACGGCTCAGTGAGAAGAGCGCGGATTTATTGGGCGTAAGATCCGTGGTTCGCTTCTGCCTCTCGAATTCCCCTGTCTACGTTTGGGCAACTTGGCAGTAGCCCAGCCCTTGTGCTTCCTTCTGATGGCATGGCAGCAAGGCACCGAAAGGGTGCTACAACTGAACGATATTGTTTATCTTAGCATGAAAGCATGTCAGAAAGATACCGCTTCCACTTGTTTTGGATCGGCACTTAACTCGAGGACCACTCCTGTGACCCACAGGGCGAAGGCTACAGGGGTGACTACGCCCGCGCGTTGCGCAAATTCAAGTGGTTCATGTTGTTCTTGGGAGATTAGGCTCTTTACAAATGATGCGAACGTTTTAAGCGCTCGGACCCGCGATTTCCGAAGCTTGTCACAGATGCTTGTATCATCATTCTTGATAGGAATACTTGAGTAATAGGTTTTCACGCTTAACTGCCGTAAAGCCTTGGGGGAAGAAAGCCTCAGTAAACAATGAAAAAACGCAGGGTGGGGAATTAGTTCGATGAATTCTCAAGCAACCTGACCAATAATAATGTGCCTACATCTTCCATAGCAATAAAATGAACATATCTGAGTATCATGTTGACTTAGGACGCCATCAGCTAGAATGACCTGGCTTCCTTTGTGAAAGTCATCTTATATGGTTTCAGCGCACAATGACATGCGTACTTTAGTTAGGCAGGCCTAAGAAATAACACCATGAGTGCCAACTGGATCCCGGTTGCTTGCCATGTTCTACAGGTTTCCAACTACATTCCCTGAGCCCCAGGCAAGAAGACACGGAGATCATACAACGTCTAGTTTGCCTCTAACAATCTTCATTTCAGGCTGGCATATTGTAGCCTCGTACCTCTTGCTAGTAAAAGAAAACAGTGTTCTTGCCGGAAACGATGGTTGGGTATACATTATGGCAAAAGTATTTAGGGGAGATAGAATATCCTCAAGGTAGAAGGCCCCTTTAAAATTGAAGATGACGACGAGTGTTGGTCGGCTGTACGTGTGACGCTGCTCAAGCCTCCGGTGCAACGTAAAGATCTGATAAAGTCACCCTCTTCAAGGCCGAAATGACGCCTGATTTTCCCTGATGCTTGTTCTTCGTAACGAAGATGGGCGTCGCAATACTAGCAAAGCCAGTAGCCGTGTTGTGTCCAGTGTGTGACTTATTCCTATACATTGGAACAGTCTGTTTGAATGCTATTCTGAAGACTTTGGAGTCCAGCGATTAGTTGTCAAATGCACACGATAGATCGTGCCAAATCAGAGACAATATACCCCTTTTTGTAATGTACCACTCATAAGGTTGCTGAAAATCCGTCGACAGTCCACGCCCGGTTTCGCCCTTTTTGGGGCTCATCAGGTAGGCTCAGTCCTCGGGTTTCCGTCAACTTTGTGTTCTACTTGAAACCAAATTGCACCGAATCAGCGAATATACACTCATTTGCGAACAAATTTGGTTTTTTCTAGAGACCCACCTAGAACCCAGCTGAATCTCTCGTTTGTGATGTTCTCAGGCAACTGAATGTGCCGCACCAGGCAGCCTCATGTTTTGATCGCTACGATATTCGAGATATCGCGATACATGTATATTTTTGTAATGTACTACTCATGGGGTTGCTGAAAACCCGTCAAGAGCCCACGACCGGTTTCGCCCTTTTTGAAGCTCGTCAGGTAGGCATAGTCCACGGGTTACCGTCAACCTTATGTTCTATTTTAGAACAACGCTGGGAAAAGCTTCCTGACACAGCATCGCATTACACCTCAGCGAAGGAAGGTAAATTAGTGCTTTAGAAACCGATGAGATCAACATTCACCGACCATGGCTCAAAGTGAGTGGGTCGAATGAAAAACATTCAGACACAAAGAGGATTCTACATGCGGGTCTTCAGTACATAGAAATTCTAATTGAAATATTTCAGGATGTCCTCTTCATGATTGGAGCGTAGCGGGTTGAGAAATTTGTTCTTCAGTCTCGGTCCTCCCAACTTTTACAATTCTGGAAACAAGACGTTCCGCCCTGTGCTCTCCCAGTCTGCAGCCGATTGAGTGGCGCATGGAATCGCTCAAGTAAATCGGAAAAGTACATCCTCGTTGTACGTTGGAACAGGTGAGCTGTGTAATTCCAAATCACACAGCGTGATCCACTAAGTAGTGTTAAAGAGTGAAGCTTCCAAGCTGTCAACATCCAGCCAGAGATACCTCTGTTTTTTTAACGCCTGTTCTAGGCTTTTATCGGTAGTTGTAAAGCCTGAACCCTCAATCCACAGGATTCTATCACGTCTACCGGATACCATTTGAAACCATTCAATTATAAGTGGAGCTCTTCACTTCACTTCACTTCACTTGAATCACCTGACATTCATTAGTTTTGCCTTGAAACAAGGTGGATATCGATACGTAGTTCTCAGCTAAAAAGCTCGCCAGTTTTCAAATAGAATCCCCATCTGTAACATGCCGTAAAACGGTGCACTCACTTCCAGTCATCACGTTGGTGATCAATACGTTGCTGTAGTTGGTCAAGTGTCCTCCCACACGAACGTACAACGAACTGATTATTGAAATTCCCAATATTTATTGATCGAATTTATTGATCGTACTTCATGGTGTCCCAGTGGTATCTGTTTCATTAAAACGATCCAACCAGGGAGGACCATCATTCGAAAATGCATACTCGATCGCGGAAATAGGCCTATTCGCTTGAATGCAATGTTGCACAGGCATAACTACTGATAGCTATGGTAAATTCTTGTCCAAGCAACCAAGTACATTCCAGGTTTTATATAGTTTCGTTGATCTATTATTCGTGTGATGTACAACCGTTAATTAATCGCCTTGTTCGCTTTGTCCATCTGTTGCTATCCCACCGAATCGGACAGTATAACTGGAGTCATTCATCGGTAACTCCCCTGAGTCGGTAAGTTGAGTTTCAGGAATGTCCTTGATCTCCATCGCGCAGTTCTTGACTTAGTTCTGGATACAGTCAGCGCATCTTTTGGGCCTGTGCCCTAAATCCATATTTCCAAGTGTCCTAAAATTCCAGGTTTCAAGTAGCGTCCGCCAAAAATGACGAAGAGGGTCGCTTTTACATCGCTGGTGATCTGTCTATGGCTTTTCACCTCATGGCTTGACCTAGGAGAAAATACCAAGCGAACATAGTGTTGTGGCTTGTTGGACGATCGTGCAACCCTGTATCGGTCCCTTGGGTTCCTACTCCGCCCACTACGGTATACCAAAAGGCGCGGTAGCTCTACACAGCCCTTTATGGGGTAGTCACAGAGTGTTCCACAAGGCCGTGCCAGAATCTCCGTGAGGGCGCGAGAAGCGTCCACTCAAGGATGATCGAACCGGATTGGTTGGCATTCTGACCAATCAGGGCATGCATTCGTTTGGTCCGTGTCCTGCACGTGACACATCCGTCCCAATGTGATGTTCGGTTGGCACAAAGAAGTACCTTCTCCGACCACAATAGGTGTTCTCTGAGTAGTACCGCGCTGAAGTTTTTCAAATGTACCACGGCCATTCTTGGGCTATCAGAGTGCATGAATCACTTTTTTCCGATTCGCTTTTCCTTGTTAGAAGGCAGCAGTGATGCCTCCATCAACACTGTCCAAACTCTCCTGTTGCAACAAACAGCATAACTTCGACCACAGACTGCCTGGCATTAAGGTTTCTCGTAGAGAGGGGATTAGTAACTCTTTGTTTGACTGATTCCATTCGGCAGGGCTGAAACACAATGAATGGTATACGTAGTCCACTACTCATAAGGCTGCTGAAAACGCCTTGACAACCCACGACCAGTTTGGTACGGGAGATTCAGTTGAGTTCCAGGTGAGTCTCCCATCAAAACCAAATTGGTATGTAAACGATCGTATATCTGACGCTGTCTTCTGATCCTCGACTTTTACCAAGTTTCTGATCGAAAGCAACAGGTACAATTTAAAACTCTCTGCCTTTTCTAGATCACACGCAATTTGTTGGGAGGTTGACAGAATCCTCTCCAACTTTGACTGAGTTTGGTGCTGCCGTATGCACCGCGGTAGAACGTAACGTATCTTCTTTCTAGATTTGCACTGCCGGAAAGTTTGTTCAGCTGTACATTTGACTAATCTGTAGGCTTTCGTACATGTCGGTACGCAAATACTCCTCATTGCTTGATCTTCGGTTAATATAGCGAAACGCTGGTGCTGGAGGTTTTACGAGCATATATTGTATGGAAAATGCAGTTGTATGATACAGATGTAAGTATTCCGACGGGTTCCCTTTCGCTGAACACTCTTGGGGAATAAGCTGACCGAAGACTTCCAGTTTAGGACTCACAGTGTTATCGATTCTTGCGAGTGACGGTTCGTGAAACT